TCCCGATCTGGGGGCTGTAGCAGGGCAGTGAGGACTGCAGCGGGGCTGTAGCGGGGCAGTGAGGACCGCAGCGGGGCTGTAGCGGGGCAGCAGGGTTGTAGTAGGGCAGTGGGGATGCAGTGAGGCAGTGAGGATTTAGTAGGGCAGTGGAGCAGTCCTGGGCTGACACCGTGGCTGCCCTGAGTCCCCTGGGTCCCCTTTGCAAAGGCCCCGATGGCTCTGTCCACCACAGCCGTGAGAAGCCATCGTCAGCCTCTCCCTCTCCTTCCTGTCTTCCCAGAGAAGGGCTAAGCCGCCAGGTTGAACCCCTGGACCCTCCTGCGGGCTCTGCTCCCGGTGAGCGAGTGTTCGTGAAGGGCTACGAGAAGGGTCAGCCCGATGAGGAGCTCAAGCCCAAGAAGAAAGTCTTTGAGAAGTTGCAGGTAAGAACTCTGGTTGTCCCCTCTTACTTGAGCCCACGGACCGTGGAACTTTCTGCACGGGAGACCTCTCCTCCCCCTTTCTGAACGAGGTGCTCAGGAGCGAGGGCTCGTAGAAGGGCTGCACTTGGACCGGCACGTGGGCTGCTGAGCCCGTGAGCGCTGCCACACATCTGCTCACTTGTCCTCAGTCTGACAGCAGACCATGTCCGTGTCATCCGGCAGGACACCTGCCAAGGCCACACAGTCGCCAGCAGTGATGCTCCTGGCCCCTGGACACTGACTCACATATGGCCTCCCCCAGCGACACCCTCACTTGTTCATGCATTCAGCAAATATCGAGTCCCTAATGTATGTGTCAGGGACTGTCCCCAGAGCTTAGGCTACATCCATGGGTAAAGCAGGAAAAACGGACCCGTGGGCTTAGCACGCGTGCGTGACTTTCTCTCCTTAATACTTTGCCTTCTTCAGTTGGACAGAATGCTTCGGGAGCGCATTTGAAGTGGTCTCTACCTCTGTCCAAGATGTGAGGCAGACGGCGTTGCCCACTCCTCCTCTTCTGATTTCCCAGGCTGACTCTCAGTCACTTACTTTTTCTGGCTATAAAATAAATTTTCACGGGGCCGGCAGATGGTGCAGTGGTTAAGATGCTAGACTCCCACATGGCCGACCACGCACGGTTGGAGTCTCAGAGCTGGTGGCTTGCGTTCTCCACTTTCCCTTTCTCTCTCCCTCTCTCTCTGTCCTGCTGGTCAAATTAAATAATAATAGGAACCAGCAGATAGTGTAATAGCTATGTCACTGGACTCCCATGTAGTTGACCACGATTCGAGTTCCGGACCTGGTGGCTTAAACTCACGCCGGGCGCATGTGCGTGCGTGCCCAAGATCCCGAGAGGAGAATGGAGAAGGGATTGCAGCGTGGCCATCCCCCCTGGGGGGCGATGTATCGCTTTCTGTCTCTCTTTGTCTTTCTGGTGAGCGCACGTGCCCTATAGCAAAATCCTCTCCAAAAAAATAAATAAATAAGAACAAATAAAGTAAATAATTTCTTTTTAAAAATAAAATGAATTTTCAAACTATGAAAAAAATCAAGGAAATAAAATATCCACAGTCCCGCTACCTAGAGATACTAAAAATGTCACTAGCAATGATTTCTTTCTGATCTTTTGCTATGAATACAGAGGTAGTATATTTATAGTTTGATTCATATTAAGTATTTACTCTTTCATTTTTGTATATTTAAATTTTGTTTAGTTTTTTGCTGTTGTGCACAGGTACTCATCAGAGAGAGACAGAAAGGAGAGAAAAAGGGAAAGTGAGAAAACTCCCCCTGGGGGGTTGACCATGTCACAGTCTCGTCTCTGTTCTCGTCAGAGAATCTTGGGCACACATGCACATGTAGCCAGCATGATTTTCAAGCCGCTGGGTCTGAGACTTGAACTGCACAGCCAGCCACATGGAATCCAACACCTTAACCTCCACACCACCTGCTGGCTCCTTACTCTTTTTTTTTTTCTTTTTTTTTTCAGGATTTGTTATAGGGCATGTGCGCTTGCCAGAAAGACACAGAGAGACAGAAAGTGAGAAATCATCCCCCGGGGGAATGACCACACCACAATCCCTTCTCCTCCATTCTCCTCTTGGGATCTTGGACACGCACGCACATGCGCCCAGCATGAGTTTAAGCCAGCGAATCCAGGATGCAAACCACTGTCAACTACGTGAGAGTCCAGCAACATAGCCATTACACCAACTGCGGATCCCAACTCTCCTTTTTAAATTCAACTTTATACTTGAAAGTTTTCCTTATCTTAAGTATGGGGGGGATTACAAATTGCGTTGTGTGATAGTATTCTATCATAATGAAATTTAACTAAAATTGTTATCAGATGCGGAGGTTGTTCTCAGTATTGTATTATCAGAATTTATGATGGGGAGCCAGCCCATGGCCTGGTGGTTAAAGCGGCCACATTCCACATGTGCAAGTGTGTCGTTCGAGTCCTAGACCCAGCGGCTTGAGAAAACATGCCAGGCGTATGTGCTGTGTGCCTAAAATCCAAGAGGAAAATGGAGACGGGACTGTGGTGTGGCCACGCTCCATGCGGGAGTGCTTTCTCACTTTACTGCTCCCCCATCTCTCTCCAATGAGCACATGCACCCTCTCACAATTAAAAAAGAAGAGGACCAGCAGTTGGCGGTAATGGCAGTGTCGCTGGACTCCCACGTAGTCAACCGCAGTTCGAGTCCCAGACCTGGTGGCTTAAACTCACTCTGGGCATGTGTGCGTGCGTGCCCAAGATCCCGAGAGGAGAATGGAGGAGAAGGGATTGCGGCGTGGCCATCCCCCCGGGGGCTTTCTGTCTCTCTTTCTCCGTCTTTCTGGCAAGTGCACATGTCCTATAGCAAAAAAATTCTCCAAAAGTAAAAAAGAGTATGATGGGGCCAGCTTTGTGCACTGCTCAGAGAAACACTGGATCCCACAGTGACCTGATTCGAACCCCCGCCCGTCAGCCTGAAGCGCACCGGGCACATAGGCTAGTGCTTGAGAGCCGTGGGCTGGGGGCTGGCGGAAGGGGCTGGGGCGTGACCAGACACCGTAGAGCGCGCCCTTCTCCCGCTGTCTCTGTGCGCGCACTTGCTCTGTCACGAGTCCAAAGGGAAGAAAGAAAATGCTGTACCGGATGTGTCGGCGCAGGGTCTTGTACCAACTCGTGGTCGTGCCCTTAAAGTCCTGCAGTTCACTTTCCTGCGACAAACGATGTGAACGTGAAAGTGTTGACAAACTACTGTCCTGAGAAAGTAGAGCCCACTGGGGCCATCGGGTGGTGTGCAGGGTAAGGCAGTGGGATCCCAGGGCCAGCTGTGTGGTTAGCATCCCGGACCCAGTGGCTTTAAGAACACCTGGTGCCTGTGTGCGCATGCCCTAACTCCTGAAGAATGGGGAGGAGACGCAGCATGGCCATCTCCCCAGCGGGAATTTCTTGCCTCTCTCTCTCTTTCTCTGCAAGCTCACACGCCCTAGAGCAAACTAAAAATTTAAAAATATCGTGTTGAGCCTGCAGGGTACACTGCTAGGAGAAGAGTTTTCTCACAGTCCCAACATTTTAACTATAATCTTTGCTCTTTTTTTTTTTTGTCTGTCTGTCTTGTCCAGGCTGACTTTAAAATTTCTGAAGAGTGCATCGCACAGTGGAAGCAAACCAACTTCATGACCAAGCTGGGCTCTGTCTCCTGTAAATCCCTGAGAGGGGGCACCATCAGCTAGCCGCCCGGCCTCCTCCCACCGCCCTGGGTTATCTGCTGTCCCGTTTGCTCCTTCCGTCACCTGTTCACCATCTCGCGGCAGGTCTGGGTCTCTTCATTAGGTGCAGAATGGGGTCAGGGCAGTCCACCCTCCCAGGGCCCATCATCCTGTCTGGCCACAGTGAGAGACCGACCAGTTCAGTAATGAGGGCCAGGCCGCAGCAGGGAGTCCAGCTCTGCCTTCTTCCCTGGGTTGCTGACGAGAAATCCGGTTTCAGTGTAACTCATAGGAAAGTTCATGCCACGACCCTTGTCATTGGGAAATGCTGCTTCCTGGTTCTCTCGGAGGCACTGCCACGGCTTTGCCTCTAGCTGGGACCTCGTGCCTGGAGTGGGCTAGGTAAGCTACTCCCTGGCAAGACATTGTGGGATTTGGAAGGGAAAGAAGGGAAAAAAGAAGCTAGTGGTCTACCAAGCGGTTGGCACTGTGCCATGCATGCCCACGCGAAGACTTGGCACTGGGGCCAGGGCCTGCCCAGGGCTCCCTTGGTCAGGCTCAGCTGGGACACTCCCTCCACCAGCTGTGTGTAGCGTCCCGGGTGGGATGGACGGCCCCACGTGGTTCTTGCTTCCCAGGGAGGGGTACTTCTCCATCCGGCATCTCAGCCAAGCCACTGGCCACCGCAGTCATTCCTGCAATAAAGCGTCTGCACAAGGCTGTCTAGAGGGCCCGTCTGTGAGCTGGGCCTCACTCAGCCTGGGGTGCTGGAACCTTAGACTGTGACCTGGTTTGGGGCGGGGGTATGGGAGATAAGATACAGAAGACACCCCCCGTTTTCCCCTCAGCAGCACTAAGCAGAAGAGGCCCCCTTTGGGGTGCAGTGTGGACCCAGACAGCTGCTGGGGCAGGGGACATGTGACTGTGGTACTGGACCATAGGGAGGGCCAGGGTTGCGTCCCACGGGTTCCCTGTCCACGCGGGGCTGGTGCATGCAGGGCCACAACTCAGGCCGGCCAGGGCAGGGGTGGATCACACGTGGGGCATTACAGGGGCACCTGTCGCTGTCTCATAAAAGCAATAGAGTAGAAGAGCCACAGACAAGATTCAATCATTTAATTACACCTCGGGGTGGAACCGCTTCGTGTCTCACTGAGGCTCCAGGGCAGGGGAATGGGTAGTACAGACATACCAAAGACTCCAAGATTTAAAGAAATATATATATACCTCTAACATTTTTATGGAAATTAAAAACCAGAGGCTTTTGGTCTCCATCTGTGCTCAGTCAAGCTCGCTGGCCCCATGGGACAAAAGGCTGCGCTTTCTGTGTGGCCTCCCTTCATCATTCTCCCACCCCATGGGGGAACTAGTCCAGGGTCCTGCTGGATAGAGGGTGAACAGGTGGGCCTGAGACACAAGCCGGGCTCCCTCCCTCCAGCAGTTCCCAGCTTCTGCCAGGGCCTGGTTTCAGCGGGGTCCCAGTTCCTGGGGCGGTAGGTCAGGAGCTCTGGGCGGAACAGGCTGACTGTCCTTGACCCAACTCACGGGCAGGTGCAATGTCTCCCAGCAGCAGCTCCCAGCACCCACTGGGCACAGGAAGAACATTGGTTTACAGCGACAGGGAAGGGAGGACAGCGGTGGGTGACAACTGATGGAGCCCTGGGGAGGTCCAGAGGAACGGGGGCTCATGCCACCCCCTATGTCCAGGCTTCTGGGGGGAGGTGTCATTCGGTGGTGCTGAGGTGCCTTATCTGGCTTGTGCCTGAGTCACGATTGAGGAAAGAGCTCAAGAAAGAAGAGGTGGCCCTGGATGGCAACCGTGCAGCTGTGGGGGAGCCACTGGGCTGACCGGCCGAGCCAGACGGTGGCACCGGCTGTTAATAGAAAGGTCGTTAAAATCCCAGGAGAGACCAGTAGCAGAGGCTGGTATCTGGGGGACAGCCCGCCCACCAGCCTGCTCCCAGGAGCACCGCTGCCTGCACGGCCTCAGGAAGGGTCTGAAAGAAATGCACCTTTGGCTCCCTGTCCTCCACAGCGTCTGCTCCCCTGGCGGAGCCACCTGTGCTGAAAGGCAGCTGCAGAAAGGCCATGCACCGAAGAGTAAGGAGAAAGGTCAGGGAAGCTTGGCCAGGTCAGGGCCACTGCCCAAACAAGCCCTCCCCTGCTGGCCCAGCCGCCCCCCTACCTTTTGCGTGCTGATAGGGACAGAAACGTGCCTGCCCACCCAACCTGACTGAAGCAAGGGGCACCACTGAAGTGACCTCCCCTCGCCCTTCCCCACACACTGGGAGCTGGCAGCTCCGGTGTGCTCGCAGGTGCAAGGGCAGCGTGGGAGGCGGGCAGCTGCAGCGCAGCAAGGCTAGCTCCCACTGTGCCGTTTGTGCTTCGGAATGCCGCCGCCTGGCGACGCCTGCAGGGCAGCAACGCCCACCTCCCACCTCCTGAACTGAGGAGCAAACTGGATGAGGGGGGCGTGGGACAGGGACAGAGGGTCCCAATGAGGGACTGCCACTGCCATGTAAACAGGCCCTGGGGGGGACATGCGGCCACTTCTCAAAAGTGCTTTGATTCTGGAGACACGTGGAGGTGATTTGGACTTGGAACGCGAACGAGGGAGGTGTTCTGCTCCAACTGTGCCTCCGGCCAGCAGGGGGCGCAGCCACCCGCTCCCACCAGCTACCGCCTCCGGGATGAGGCTAAGGCCAAGCAAGACTGAGTGGCCAAGCCAGAGGTGACCACCTGGGGACAGGCGTGAGAGCTGGATGACGTAGGCAGGAGCAACACCAGGCTTGCATAAGTACGAAGGCCGTGAGGTTAAGGCTGCAGGCGTCCCCTCGGGCTGTCTGCTGTCTCCTCTGGTCCTTGGAGCTGCTCAGGTCCCTGAGTATTCCTGGGCCGGGCCAGCAGGGCCAGCGCTCAAACCAGCTCTCTGGGTCGGTCTGCGGGAAGGACAGACACTCAGGAAGGGGTCTCCTGCCCGGGTCCCAGCACTGCACACCCCAGGTACTCCCTCCCCAGCTCACCGGCTACACTAGCAGCACCGCGCAGAAACTACAGGTGCCTCGGACGCCACCACGGCACGGCCAGGACAGGCAGAGTGACCAGAACCAAATGCAGTCGTTCTGACGCCATGGCCCTGCGCACCACGCCCCTGCAGTGCAGCCCGCCTAGGGTGGCTGTCCACCCTCCCCCGCGTCTGAAGTCAGAAGACCCGGGGCAAATCCCCGACGGTGAGCCCTGGACACCTGTCTCCCACCATCAATGAGGGGACCCACACCCCACCACTGCCACTGTACCTGAGCCTGGAGGTCCCGTCTTCTCCTCGGGGCCCGCTAGCTGCACGACATCGCCATTCTCTGCCAACTCCCCCTTAGTCCTGTCCTCAGCATGTGGGAGCCCATTGGTGGGAGGGAAACTGGGGGAGGTGGGCAGGGGGACCCCCACAGAGGGCTTGCGGGCCACAGGCGGGGGAGCCTTAGGCGGCTTCTTTGGGGTCTGTGGTGGCCGTTGCTCTGAGATGCTCCTAAGTTCAGCCACCAGATTCCGCTGGAGGTCAGCCTGGGCCTCAGGGGACACGGGCCGCTCGAGCAGCAGCTTCTTAGTGCCCTTGGAGAAGATGAAGCTGGCTGTGGAGGCAGGGGACCGAGGAGCCGGCGGCTCAGCCTCTGCCGACCCGTTGGACTGGGCATTCCCGAGGCCCTCGCTGGCGGCCAGGCTAGAGGCCTTGAGTCGGACAGCAGCGTGGAGCCCTGGGGAGGAGGCTGGCGCTGGGCTGGCCCGCCCTGACAGAGCCCGCCGCAGTGGCTTCTGGGGGGCCGCTGGTCCCGATGCCGGGGCGGGAGCCCCAGGGGCAGCACCCACAGAGCGCAGGCGCACCATCTGCAGGAGCGAGGGTGTGACCAGGGGGGCGCCAGCCTCCTCCCTGGGGAGCCCACTGCCCTTGCCGCTACCAGCAGCTTCCTTCTCAGGAGTCTTGGCCAGAAGCCCTGGGGCAAAGCCAGCAGGTGAGGCTGGTGGCGGGGCTGGGGTACCGTGGGGCGGCTGGCTCTGGGGAGAGCCAGCAGCTGAGGGCAAGTCCAAGGAGCCACCCAGCTCCGGGGGCTCCAGTGGGCCTGCATGCTCAGGGCCAGCCTCAGAGAAAAAGGCCTCCTCGGGTGGGGGGAAGTCGGCCATGGACAGGTCCTGCTCCTCAGGGGCAGGGGGTGGGGGTGGCGGCCAGCTGGGATCTTGCAGGGACTCCTCAACAGTCTCGGGGGCAGCGGGAGCCTCCTCAACCCCCTCAGGCTTCTTAGTGGGTGGCGGAGGAGGAGGGTAAGATGGGGGTGGGGACGGTGGGGGTGACTGGTCTTTGGCAGCAGCAGGAGTCTCCTGTGGTGGGGTCAGGGATGGCTGGGGAGGGGCTGGAGACCCAGGACTGCCACGGGCCGTAGAGAGGGGCCCAGTAACCAGATCAGGAGCTGCCAGAGCAAGGGCAGCCTGGTTAGGGTTCCGGGGTTTGGAGGGAGGTGGGGAGAAGGGGGCAGGCACCTTGGGGTGAGGAGGTATGACAAACCTGTCACCTAGGGGGGTTGACATTTGTGGACCAAAACGGTCTGAGGGGGCAGGGTCAGAGGAGGAGGAACAGAGAGACGTGAGTGAGGATGAGACTGAGGCACCAGGGGACCGAAGGGAAGCCACCCGCTCTGGCTTAGGAGGCTGGGCCTTGCCTGGGGAGGCAGGAGCACCTGCCAAGCTCTTAGGAGGGAGGGTAGGGGTGCCACTTTGGCTCGAGTATCCACTGGAGGGGGAAAGTGTCCGTTCTGGGGAGCGTGGGGGTCGCCGGGAGCCACCTGGAGATAGGCCAGGCCCCCAGCTGCCCCCGGAGCTGGGTGGACAGGGGGCTGTCCCCACCCCTTCTGGGCCTCCCGTGGTGGGCGGCCGAGGCAGCTGCGGCTGCTGCTTGCGCTCTGGCTTAGGAGGCAGCCCTAAGGGCCCCCGCCGCTCCGAACGCTCACTGTGTCCGCGGCCTCGGCCGTGCTGCCCCCGCTGGGCGAGCCCCTCCCGCTGCCGCCCTGGGGGGTGGGGGCCACGCTGTGGCTGGCCACGGAGCCCTCTGGCTGGCCCTCAGAGCCACCCTTAGAGGACAGGGTGGAGCCGTCGGACACGATGGTCTCCGAGGACTGAGAGTGGCTCCAGGTGTCGCTGGAGGACGACGGGTGGCGGCTGGAGGGCCGTGGGCTTGAGGCCGAGGAGAAGCGGCCCAGCGAGCGAACGGAGGCGGGGCTGGCAGAGTGCAGGCTGCAGCGGCTCAGCGTGCGCAGGCTGCTGCGGCCCAGGGCCACCACGTCCACTGTGGGCGGCAGCACGGCGTGTGGGATCAGCTTTGACAAGAAGGTGGCCTGAGGTGAGATGGACATGGCTGGGCTCAGGGGCTCTGGAGGCCCCGCCCCTCCCGTCAGTCCAGGCACCGCTAGGGACACAGGACGGGTCAGTGGCGACGGCCGGTTCCCTGTAGATCGGCCAACGAAGGGGTCGTCCCGAAAGACACGGTCAAAGGTGCGCTGGCGG